GTCTTATCCGAATTTAATAGGAGAAAATTATTGGTCATCCAATCTTTTACATTTTTAACACATTCTGTTAGCTTAGATAATTTAGAAGTTTCATCTGGTCTTGTTGAGATATATAGTTCAGTATCATCAGCATGACAGTGGAAACTAATCCCGTATTTTCTAATAATATTACCAAGGGGCAACATGTATATTGAAAATAGCAGAGGACCTAGGACAGATCCTTGTGGAACTCCATATTTTACTGGTGATAATTGAGATGACTCCCCATTTAAATGAACAAAGTGGTAGCGATCGGACAGGTAGGATCTAAACCATCTTAAAGCCTGCCCTTGAATACCTGTATAGTTTTGTAATCGATCTATGAGTATGTCATGATCTATAGTGTCGAACGCAGCACTAAGATCAAGTAAAACTAGCAATGATATGCAGCCTTGGTCTGACGCAAGAAGCAAGTCATTTGTAATTTTAACAAGTGCAGTTTCTGTGCTATGGTGGGGTCAGTAATTTAGTAACTTTCAGTAATTTAGTGCAGTGGTTCTCAAACTGGGGTACGCGTACCCCTGGGGGTATGTGAGATGAAGGTGGGGGGTACGCAAACAAAAATCTGAGTTTTGGCATTCATTTAATACCCCAACTTAAAGCAACATTAAAACCGAATATATTTCTGATAAGCAAAATGCTGCTTCTAATGTAAAAACAGGAAAATGGGGGTGCCGTAAACAGTCAAATACATGATATCCAAACAGCTTACCTAATTTTTTGCGGTCAAAACTGACTGCATCCACACAAGCAGTATGAATGTGATAGGATGGCCGCTGAATATGCTGCTTTAGCAAATCGCGCTGCTGTTCAATGTATCTTTAAAGTAGATCTTCACTTAATAGCATGAAGAGCAAATATTGACATGCACTGTACATTGAGATCGATTTAAACTCTCTTTGATACAGACACACTCTGTGTGTGTTATTGTTTTCATGTTTAAGATACGAGCGAGAATGCAAATTTACCTGAATATCCAAACGATGGCAAATGTGCCATTAATTTTTACAAC